TGCAAAAAGAAATGGTGAGCTTTTGCAATAGATTGAATATTAGAAATGAAGACAAGGCAAGAACCAATGATGAAACTAAGGTTGCTAGTGGGAAGACAGATTCAAATGAGATAAATGGGAAGGAGAGGCACTTAATGAGTTTGATTTAGCAAATGCTAATTGCAGGCATTTTAGAATTAACACAGGAATGCTAGTGAGAGGTCATGTCTGAGTGATGCATTTGGGAGTGTTGAAAACACAAAATCCTGAAATCTCTGAGGCTTAATACAATAAACATTTATTTCTCATTTACATTACACTGCACCATGGAGTGGGTGGCCCTGGGTCTTTTAGGGATCCCAACTTCTTCCATTTCATGGCACTGCCATCTTACATGTGTGACATCCGAGGCTAAGTTCTAAGGGCCTCATGGGAGATTTTAGAGACCTTGAAATGGTGTATATTAATTCTGCCCACATTCCAATGGGGATCCAACTGAACTGGAAAATCTAGTGTACTTGTGTACCAGAAAGAGGAAAGGGGGTTCATGAGAACTTGGCCAATCTTGGCTATAGGGCCCATGGACAGACACACATACACACACAGAAAATTATAGGAGTGGATGAATTCATTACAGATATGAAGATTAAGAGGGAAAATTTAAGAGGACAGAGTTCAAAGAACACAATGACAAATAGAAGATCCAGCAAAGAATTCAGAGAACTAGACCTGTGTAGAATTGAATGTGGCAAGGGGAGAGGTGGTAAATTTCTGTAAGGAGGGAAAATGTCTGCTTTTGCTAAGACTTGCTTTTGGAGACAAAGAAATTCACAAATACTAGAAAAGGACTTACTTCAAAACCACCATTAGCTTATCTTTACAAGCAGTCTGAAACTCAAATCCCTCTGCCTGGTCGTCAATGTGCTGTCCATCCTACCTGTCCACACCTGACCATGCACTTCCCAAGGTACCCAGTATATCCTGGTCACTGGGTTTTTCATCATCCTTAAGCCACCCACTCTCTCCCATCTTCATGATTTTGTTTTTATATCTTCTTCCACCCATCAAAAGCCTGGCTTTCCTCAAGCTTTAAGTCAAATGCTGCACCATCCAGGAATGAAGCCTCTTCTGACCTTCCCTGTCATTATCAACCTCCCCATATTCCATCAGCCTTATGATCTTTTTTATACTTTGAAACATGGTACCATCCATTTTATATGTATCAATTGTATGTTCACTTGACTTTCTCCTTCAATAGACCATGGGTTTCTCAAGTATCAAGCAGGGCCACTGGGATATACAACCTCAGGACAAACCAAACAACACTAGGTCAAGAGCTGGCAAATGTTTTCTGAAAAAGGCCACATAGTAAGCATTTTAGGCATCGTAGGTCATGTGGTCTCTGTCATTACCACTCAATTGTGCCATTTTAGTTTAAAAGCCGCCATAGACAATATGTAAATGAACGAGTATGGCTGTGTTCCAATAAAACTTTATAAAACATGTGGTGGGCCAGATTTTATCCACAGGCCAAAATTTGCTGCTCCCTGTCCTATGTGAATGACATTTTTTGCAGCACAGTGTGAACAGAGTTTCCTGAAGTGTAGTCTGAGAAGTCCTAGGAAGAATTGATGTGCATCTTAATTATCTTTGTATCTGCTGTCCCATCTCCCACCAGCACATAGTACATTGCCTTACACATAGTAGGCCCGCAATGTTTATTTTTCTAAATTAAATATGCCTGGAACTCAGTAAATCATATCAGCATTTTGAGATCTTAATTACCTTTGAAAACTACTTTGCAAGACTGTAGTAAAGTAGTTCAGAAAGGGATCATGTAAGTCCAAGATTCATAATAAAGAATGTGACAGGGGAAGATGTGAGCTGAAAATATCTAAGGATTAACAGCCAAGGAGAGAATCTGACATCAGAGCTGGGTAAAAGCAACAAAAAGGTATTTCAATCCTGAGAGACTAGCACCAAGGGACATCACACCATATGTAATAGATGTCTCACAACACCCTCTAAATCCATGTGAATAATGCATTTAATACCAGCACTTCAATGCTGGAAAGATGTTCGTGATTTGAAGGAAACTCAGAGACCAACCAAAATGATTAAGAGACTGAAAGGATTCATTTATGAGCAGCTATAAAAGAAGCCAACTACGTGCTTGGCCTGCTGATGGCCAGAAAGAGATGGGAAAATGGTTTACAAATTACTGAATGTTATAAACACCAGGAAGGGGAGGAGTGACGATCAGCTCTATTGGACTCAGCTCTAGGTATGGACATATCTTAGGCATTGACAAATTCCTTTCATTATTGGGTCTTAAAACATTTATGGATCATCTGAATAATATATAACTGGGAATGTTGTGATTGGTAATGTTCCATTATTAGAGGAGAATAGGATTGCTCCAGAAGAGCAAATACAAGACAAAGTATTGCTTATTAAGGAAGAAACATTCCAGGAATACTAGGTGTGCTGAGAAAATTGAAATGCGCTAATTAATAGTCCACTCTTAAAAATACCAAATACATGACATTGTGGATAATGTTATATAGTGTAGAACTGTTGAAATTAAAGCACAAAAATGGAAAGGTGGCCAGATATTTTCTTCATTCCTTCCTTCCTTATGACATTCAATCATTTATTTATTCCTCCATCTATCCCATATAGGTAATGCTTACTCACTATTTCCCACGGTCCTGTGCTGGTGATACAAAGAGTAGTATTTCATAGGGTATCTAAAAAAAAAAAAAAGCTTACAGATGTAGTGGTGGCGTCAGAGAATCATGTAGACTAAGAAGGAACAGCAGACAGGTTCAATAGAAAGTGATGAGGGAGGGAAGAAAAGTGGCCCCCAACCCAGATCAGAGAAAGCAAGAAGGTTATTGAGGATTGTCAGGGGAGCTGGCTGTCCTAAGAGATTCTGAAGAGTCTGTTAATCAGAAAGAATGAGAATAACATCCCAGGTAAGAAGAGTGATAATTTACAGTGCCAAAGATGACAAAGTGCTGGACCACTCTGTCACAGTTTATTTGAGACTGACAAGTAGTTCGGATGGACTGAAACAAATAGTGTAAGGAAGGTGGTAGCCTTCAAAATAATTGGAATATATTAGGATTGTGAGTGATTTTTTTTTTCTTGTTGATTTTTCTCTCTTCCAAAATTTCTCCATTAAAAAAATCACACCCCTATGTAGCCAAATTGTAAATATTTATATAGCACTTATTCTGTGCCAGACACTATTCTAAGCACTTTGCATATATTAAGTGATTTTATACATATAATTCTATAAGACAGGTACTGTTATTACATATACAGATGAGGAAGGGGGCCAGAGATAGGTTAAACAACCTGGCAAAGTTATAGAGACCGCTAGGAACAGAGCAGTGTTTCTTATTGGGCCAACTCACTGTGGAGTCTCTGCTTTTATATCCTCTGTGCTGCCACTAACTTTCTAAGTCAAGAGCCTATTTTCAGAGCATTTATTCCCATAATCCCAGTCTAAAAATTTATCGAACAAATAAATATACTTTCAAATATTTGGGGAGAAGAATTTTTACATCTCTAAAATTTATAATAGCAAAAAAAATAAAACTATAATCACCTAAATGTCCTATAATACAGAATGATTAATAATGGCATGGACCATTATGTAAGCATTGACAATTATGATTTAGAAGAAAGTTAAATAACAGGGGAAATGCTCAATATAAAGGCTAAAAAAAAAATGCAAGATACAAACTATAATCCTACTAATATGTTTGTGTGTGTCCAAAAGGAAATTCACTAGTTAGACTGGGGTATAATTCCAACCTTAGCTCTGCCACTTACTAACTTTGTGACCTTGGATAATAATTTAACACCTCTGTACTCTATTTTCTTCATTAGAAATCAGGGCAATACAATTGTTGTGATGGTTAGAAAATTAATACACGTAAAATGTTTAAAATACTGGTTGGCAAGAACTCAGTGCTAGTTACCAAAAAATAGAAAAACCTATTTAAAAATTAGGACTAGCCCTGGCCGGTTTGGCTCAGCGGTTAGAGCGTCGGCCTGCGGTCCGGAGAGACCCGGGTTCGGTTCCCGCTAAGGGCATGTACCTCGGTTGCAGTTTGTCCCCGGCCCTGGTTGGTCGTGCAGGTGGCAGCCACTCGATGTGTTCCTTTCACATCGATGTTTCTCTCTCTCTCTCTCTCTTCCTCTCTCTCCCTCCCGCTCTACCTGAACAAAAAAAAATTAGGACTAGATAGTACACATTTGATAACCATATTCTGTAGTCTGGGGTCCAATATATTACAACTTTATCGAGTTATCTCCCCCTTATATTTAAAAAATAATAATTGGAAGTGAGATGAGGGGCACTTTACATTGCAAGTAAAAAGTATTTGCCTTGAAAATCTTCTTTGTTAAATTATAAGATGTATTAAATACCCAAACAACCACGGAAGGGGTATAAAAGTATCCTTTTTAGCTAGGTCTCTTTCCCAAGGCTGGAGCCCTGAAGTTTTATTTTGGTTCAATATTCTTGAATTGTGATAGTTTCAAACTATTTAAGAAACGTGTTTTCTTGCCAGTTAGAGTCAACATATTGATAAAAATTAAAAATTGGTTTTTGAAGGGCCCAAGACCATATGTAGTATATTTCTCATCCAAGTTTTAGAATGATCTTAATTATATTTGTTTTTAAATGTTAAGAAAAAAATAGAAGAAAATGAGCAGTTTCAAGAATAGTGTCCACTCTATTTTTCTTCAAAGTTTTGTTTTTATTTCTCTTTTCTTCATTTAGGAAATTCTTGTAGTCTTCTTTGGAGCTGTTTTCATGGATGAGCTACTTGAGCAAGTGGGCTACACTGAGAGAGATGAAACAAGAGCTTAGGAAATTGTGGGTGGGGCATGTAACTTATACCACTCTGCCCAGCATCCACATATGAGGTTATTCTGCTGCTCACAACATTAGAAACAGGGTTCCCCACAAGTTTTCATGGCCTCTCTCTGTCTGTCTTTCTTAGGTCTCCTATGTCAAAGCGATTGACATCTGGATGGCAGTGTGCCTTCTGTTCGTGTTTGCTGCCTTACTGGAATACGCAGCAGTGAACTTTGTCTCCAGGCAACACAAGGAGTTCCTGCGGCTCCGAAGAAGACAGAAGAGGCAGAATAAGGTACAGTTGAGCCTCATGCAGATAGTCAGGGAGTGCTTCAGGTGGTGAACCGGACAATGTGATTAATAAAAGAGAAGAACACATAATGAGCAAGAAGCTAAGGTTAATTTTTGTCCTGCTCTGTTCTAACTGAATTACTACTCAGGTTAGTCCGTTACAGTGAGGGCCAGGTTGTCACACTTAGCAAATTAAAATACAGGCACACAGTTAAACTTTAATTTTAGATAAACAATAAATACTATTTAATATATGTATATCCTAAATATTGCATGGGGTATACTTATATCAATAAATTATTCATTGTTTATCTGAAATTCAAATTTAACTGGGAGCCTTGTGTTTTATCTGACAACTCTAATCAGAGATATATACTCAATCTGACAAAATTACTTTAAAATCCTGTTGTTTTGAACATTGATCATTTGTATGTGTGTGTATGTGTAACTTTGTGCACATAATTTCTTTAACTTTTTGATCCATTGCTCTGGCTTTATGTAAATAAGGTTCCCACCCATGCTGATCGCAACTTGAGAAATCCAATCAGATGGATTTCATTGTCTAAAGTTAAACTTTAATGCAAAAACCTGAACTTTATCCAGAGGATTGAGATTTGAAATACATGGCTTGAAATCTCCAGTTCAGTGGTTCCCAAACAACTTGCCTGCACATTTGATTAGCCTGGGGAACTTTTGAAAGTCCCAAACCCCATGCCCCATATCAATTAAATACCAGTCTTGAGATGGAACACAGCAGTCAGTATTTCTGAACCCCCTTCCCATGTCCAGGTAACTGCAGTGTGTGAACACCTTTGAGAAGCACTGCTCTGCTTTTTAAGCCAATTTTAAATAGGACACCAGAAGGCTTACACTTTTTCAGTTTCAAATTCTGGTACAGAAACATGCCCTTTGATATGGAGAATGCCAGTGCCAGTGATAGTATCACTACAGAACTAAAGTTAAAATTTTATATACAGGAGAAAAGAGAGATTTTTGAACCCCTCCCCAAATCGATACATTAAACCTGCTGCTAAAGCCATAGTTATATGCTACCCTATCAGAGAAAAACCACGAACGTTTCATTGTCAAGCTTAATGCTTCCAGATCTAGATATAATATTGAGCATCTTTTGTAGTGTAGATGTTGCTTATGCTGTGGAGCTTACATGTGTATGAGCTCACCGAGTCCCGCCTACGTCTACAAAATGTTTCCTCTACATACTCTGGACTGGTATCCTGCTGGCTGCCCTGCCTCTTTCTCTTCCCTACCTCTCAGGAATATTTTGTACTGCCACAGCCTAAGGAAATACACAAACACGCACATGCACACACACACACACACACACACACACACACACACACAAACACACTATATCTCTCATTGCTGAATGTTGCTAAATATCAAGCCTTTCTCAATTTTCTCCTTCCTGCCTCCTTTGGTGATAACCATTTCTTCAACCTCATCCACAGAAGTCTAGCACAAAGTGACACAAGTCTGACATCACTTGTGCTACCCAGAAAATTTTATTAGAATGTGAGGGTATTTCAGCACATAAACTGTATTCCCAGAATTCCCTGGCATACTGACTGCATGCTCTCCTAAACCAGAGAAAGAAAATGAGTTTAATTTAGCTTCTCAAGTCTAAATAATTGAAATGCTCTAGGAAGGAATCTTGGACTGTATCTATATCTACTCTTATCATAAGAATCACCTGGAGTGCTTTCAAAAGTACATATTCTTGTGTTCCACCCTAAACCTTATGAATCAGAGTCTACAGGGAGGTCACTGAATAACTGTAATGTTTTTCACAAGAGTCCCCATGAGTCTTATTACAATAAAGTAAGTTTGGGGGAAAGCTGGGCAGTGTCAAATGAGAAAGACAAAGCCATAGAAGATGAGGTTGGAGAAATAGCTAATTTCAGGTCCATATAGGACTTTGCAGATCAGTATAAAGGAACAAATTTTATACTGATAAAAATCCACTGGTTAATTTGAACATAGCCAGTGTCAAGCTATTGCATAGATAGTCTGTGGTTCAAGAGTAGCAGCGGCAGATCAGTTAGGAGGCTACTGTAGAAATATAGGTGAGAGATGTGGGTGGCTTCGACTGAAGTATTGGTCATGAGAATAGAGCCAAGTGGTCAGATTCAAGATTCCTTCATTCATTCTACAAATATTTGTTTCCTACTGTGTGCCAGGCACTGTCCACAGCCTTCAAATACATTGTTGAACAGGGTAGACAAAGTGCAATCCCTTGATGAAACTTACATTCTAATGGTTTATTCTTTGGAGGCAAAAGCAATGCTCATGCATTTGATGTGGGAAGGTAGGGAAAAGAGAATATGGCTCATATTTTTGGCTTAAGAAACTAGGTGGGTAGTGTTACTATTTAAAGTGGGGACTTTTGTGACAGAAGCAAATGTGGGGTAGAACTCAGAAGTCATATTTTGATGCTGTTAAATTTAGATGCTTTTGAGACATGCCAGTAGAGAGCAACTCTAAGGAGTCTCCCTTTAATGCCTGCCACAATCATCCCTCTCAAGTATCCTCCTTGCTCCTCACTGTGATGCCTAAACTAGCATCTAGCTTTCCTCAGTTCCTCAAACCCAGCTCCATTGGAGCCTCTGAAGTTCAGGCTATTCAAATTCATCAGTGACTTCCCCTGTCACTGCTGTTATCTACCAGCCTGCAGCCATATTCCTTACTAGTGAATGACTTCAGCATCTTTTTCACTATCAACCCAATACCCATTAACAGTTACCCTTCCTGAAGGGTCCTCAATACCCATATAAATAACTGTCCCCATCCTTGTTGTCCCAATTTCTGGACTGCCTTGCTGTCAATTTTACTTCTATTCAACCTTAGCCATATACACATATGGTTGTAGTCACTGCTTTGTTTTCCTTAAAAAAATATTTGAGAAATTCAAGCTTGCATTTGTTGTTGTTAATCCTCACCTGAGGATATGTTTCCATTATTATTATTTTTTAGATAGAGTGGAAGGGACGAATGGGAGGAGAGGGAGGGAGGGAGGGAGGGAGGGAGACAGACAGACAGACAGACATTGGTGTGATAGAGACACATCAATTGGTTACTTCCCACATGACACTGACAGTGGCTGGGGGGTTGAACCTGCAACCCAGGTATGTGCCCTTGACTGGGAATTGAACTCATGATGCTTTGGTCCATGGACCAATGCTCTAGCTACTGAGCCAAACTGACCAGGGCCAAGGTTACATGTTTTATATAGAGACGTTCTTGAATTTGACTGCATCTCAAAATGGCTATTCAAAATATGAAGTTTAATTAACAAAGTTAAGACTTGAAGGAGAGATGGAAAGCAAAACAAATCATGCTTGACCTTTGTAGTCAAGGCAATTATTGTCATTAACAATTACATTTTGGAAAAAAAAAAAAAAAGAGCAGGAGACATTTCCAATTATTTTTCCCTTAGGAAATGGCATCTTTTTCTCTAAGGTAGTGCTTTTCCAATTTTCTGAGTCTGAACCATGACAAAAAAAAAATGTAACAAAAGCCAATACTGCTTGAGTGCTTACCATGTACTAGGCACTGTTCTAGGCACCTCTCACCACAGTAATTGATTTAATCCCCACCACTGTGTGAGTAGTGTGATCATACAGCCTAGCTTACTGTGGAAAGTCCTGATTTTGCCTATTTTCCTGATGCCTTGTGTGATGTAGTATTTGTCCTGGATTATTCATTTTAAATAAAACACTTAACACTTGCATGAAAATAAACTGAGATGGGTTTGGTTGACCTCTACTTTGTACATATCGTTTCTGTCATCCTATGATCTTCTGGGGTGGGGGTATACATGTGCAGTACACAAGTTTTCACTTTAACATGTGATAAAATCTACAAAATAACCATCATTATCCCTGGCCTCTTATCTTGGCTCTTTCCAGAAGCAATGCCATAACCGACACTCTTTCCAGGATAGCTCAAAGAGGCTTGTGGATAAAATGCAGTGCATGTAGACACAAGAGGCTGGGGATAAATGATTCTTTTTCTTGGTCTCTGTCAATGGTGGGACTCTCCTGTCCTGCTTATTACCTGGGGTACCAGCTTTGTTACATGATATGGCATGCAAAATCTATGAAGCCACTGGGCCACAACTTGGTGGAGTCAGTGAAAAACATGGAGAGTGCCATGAACATGAAACAAAATAGAGGCTGAACAGTCTCGCTGTAGAACATCTAAATTTTCGTGGTTGAGAGGTTTTGTCATTTTTGCATGATATAAATCTGTAATTACTTTATTGTTTAATGATGCTTTTTTTCTTTTTGCAATAATTGACGTTATAAAGCTGTACTGTCTGTTAGTGCCACTTTCCACTACCAAAATTGTCCCCCTTTGGATAAATTAAGTGGTCAGTCATCCTGCTGAGAATGAAGCCAGTGTTTTTTATCTCCATCGTACAGATAAGGAAACTAAAGCAACGTGAGGTTAAGTAAAATGCCCAAAACCACACATGCAGGCAGTCTGGCTCTAGTGTCCCTGACTGTAACTGCTGCTGATCAGAGTTCACATTTTACATCTTACATTATGATTCATTCTCTCATATCTCTCTCTCTCTCTCTCTCTCTCTCTCTCTCACACACACACACACACACACACACCACCTCTAATGCACTTTATTTTCTATTCTGTTTTTTTTTTTTTTTTTTTTTAAATGCTGGTCATGAGGGATGAGATTAGGGTAATGCAAGTGAGATAAGTCATACAAGTGCAGGGTCAGATTCTGTTTTTATTTAAAATTGATATCTTCTTCATCATAGATTTTTGCAGTTATAATGGATTTATTAAATATTGCATTCAAATACTTATTTGGAGTACTGGGGTTTGGGCATCTCCTTAGATTTTGCACCTTGTCCTAGTTCCAGCCCAACTGTCATGAATCACTATATTTTCACACACCCTAACAGGTTGTGAACTAAAATTAAAGAAGAAAATAAGAAAAACACCACCACCACCACCATTTAA